ATCAGGAATTGCTGAAACAGAAAACAAAAGGTTCTCCTTTTATTGGTTTAAGCATTTATAATGTCCTATAAGTGGCATTGTGTGAAACTAACTGTAAATAATGAATACATACTAAACACAGGGTAACTAAAGCATTTTTGAGCTTGCCTGTTAAAAGACAAGTGATATTATAAAATGCCTGACATCTTATATCCCCACAGGACGCAAAATTAAAGGAAAAGGAAGAGGGGGAAAGATACTTCAAGGTGCACACAAAGGGAAAGTACAGTTTCAGGGCAAGAAGATAAAGTTTGAGAATGAGGAAGCTGGTGAAGGCGATACTAAAACAGGTATGTCCATTCTGTGCGCTGGATGCAGCTGCTTTAATGCATGGAGCTTTCTGCAGAAGTACTCGTGTTTCTTATGAATGTTTCAGATTTGGTCCTACATTGTGTTTCTGTCCTCTGTCAGTATCAGAACAGTAACTTTAAGGGCCTTCTGGCTTGATTCCTCTCAGAACTGTCCAGAAAAAGCATATAAAAATAATGACTAGGTAGCTGAGGCTGTGCTGCAGGGCTGTTCAAAGCATTCTACACTGAAGACAGTGGTTAGCAGCAGCACTACCCAACTGCACAGACCCAGTGTCTTTGAGTGGGGATTCTTTTTTTTTTCTGGAGGATCTGAGAAGACTTAATAGTTCTGCATATTGGTATTTAGCTCACAGAGGGCAAAGAGCTAAGCTTCTCTTCATTAGATACAGCACCTGCTTACACAACTCATGAAACTTACTCCTGTTAGATTGTATTCCTTCATCTTACCTGCCCACAGTAATAAGTAAACCCTCTAGCATAGCGGTAGCTGTGGATAAACTTGGACTCATCCTTGAACTTAAATCACAGAATCCCAGACCGTTAGGGATTGGAAGGGACCTCAAAAGCTCACCCAGTCCAATCCCCCTGCCGGAGCAGGAACACCCAGATGAGGTTACACAGGAAGGCGTCCAGGCGGGTTTTGAATGTCTGCAGAGAAGGAGACTCCACAACCTCTCTGGGCAGCCTGGGCCAGTGCTCTGTCACCCTCACTGAGAAGAAGTTTCTTCTCAAATTGAAGTGGAACCTCCTGTGTTCCAGTTTGTGTCCGTTACCCCTTGTCCTATCATTGTTTGTCACCGAGAAGAGCCTGGCTCCATCCTTGTGACACTCACCCTTTAAATACTTATAAACATTAATGGTAGGAAGTGTTTGTTTCCTCAGAAGATTTTTAGGTAATACTGAAATGCTTTACTATGTATTCAATCTTGCAGAACCAGCAAGTCCCAAGAAGAGATCACTAGAGGAAATAGAAAAAGACGAGCCTGCACCAAAACAACTGAAAACAGAAAACGGAGATGGAGATCAGTAATACTAAAATAATAAATAAAAAATTTATTGGTTTTTTGTTCCATTTTGAATAAGTTTAAAATATATTCTTCAGTTCAGGAGTTTCTTGGCAGAAAATCTAATGAAGTCAACTTCAATGTCAACCTATAATGAGAGGAAAGCTTCATTTTGTTGGGTTACTGCTTTTTTTTGTTGTTTAAGAAGCATGCTTACTCTTAACATACCACCCTGGAAAACTTTTATATTTATAGTTTTGTTTATACTGTCAGATCCTCTCAACTTCTCTGGCACCTCATTCAAATGTAAAAGGTTCTGGACTTTGTAATCTTGCAGTCAAGTAGCAGCTGCCAATAAATTCAGAACTTAAAACTGCTTACTGCTGAAGCCTGGATGTTACTGTAGTGTAAAGCTGTAACTGAAGGACAGACTTCCATCACTTCAGTTCAAGTCACCAAAAGAATAGGTACAGCTGAAAAAAACTTCTAGTCTTTGCTATTCAGCATATCTACCAGTCTTCAAATCCTGCTCGGTCTGCTCCAGGATTCTCTCTCCTTCCTCTATGGTAATGGGATAAATGCCTTCTAGGCCAGCATTCAGCACCCAGGAACTTGCCTGTGGGCTTAAGCTTCCCTACTCAGGCACCCTGACTTGATCTGCTGTTGCAGGATAAAGTGCACAGCTTCCTCCTGCCTTCCTCTGAGATGGCTTTGAGGGATTTCACTGGCTGTAGTTATTTGCAGTACAGAGCATAGAACACTGAAATAAGGCTACAGCTGTAAAATCCTAGTTACTCTGGCTTTCGTTGCTTGTCTAAATTCCAGTTGCAGATAGGATCAAGCAAATAACTTGTAAGGGTAGCCTCCTTGACTCAACTTAAGTTTTTCACATCTAATCTTTGTGTATAGCTTTGACTTGCATGACAATGATTCTTTTCCCTATTTATCTACAAAATGTAACAGCAGTGTAACTTAATGCTGTTTGCAAACTTCCCTTAAGTGCTGTAAGCATTCCTCATCCAGTACGTATGGTCCTAAAACCTACATTTTCTTAGGTAGAATTTATCTGCCTTCCTAGTACAAGACAGCATTTTCTCAGTTATGTTAGGATGTATACTTACTGATTTCTTCTTATGGAACTTGTATGATGCTGGGAGGTCGTACCGAAGTTCTGTGAGCAGTACAAAGAAAACCCGTTACACTAGAATGGCTATTAAGTCAATTGGCTTATACCCTACACCCATGTTCTTTATTATTTCTACTGCCCACCTCTTGCCCCCTGACTGGACAACGGCTTTGACCTCTGGACTAGATTGACTAAACAGTTAAGCCAACAGGATATAGGAAGCAGATGGCTGAAGTGCAGAAATGCAGTTGTGTTTCAAGCACTTGTGAACTTCCATATCTCAAGCTGTATGACTAGAAAGCATCCAGCTCATAACACTGAAGAACTGGTAAGATAGTTGGACAACCATCAGAAAAATATTTATGTAATTCTAAGAATAGGGTTTTTTGTGTGAGAACTGACCTGAACGTTGCTTTCACTACTCAGCAACAATTCCTTTTGAAGCAGGAAGGTAGGTAACTTCTGCTTGAAGGCAAAATCTAGCCCAGGAAGAAATCCAATTCTAATTCTGCACAGTGTATTGCTCAGAACTCTGAGTGCCTGCTTGCATTCTAGCCAGGTAACAAGGTATAAGGAAAAAAAAGGGGCAAAAAAGGCTGCTTTAAAAAAAGACTTGTCATTTTAGTGCTAAATCACACCTAAACTTACCTCAGGCTGTTAAGACTGACTAGTAGTGTTACAGATATTAGCCCTCCATTAAATGTGTTGGGTTTTTTCTTTAACAGCAAATTAATCTTACCTGCTATGACTTCCATCTTCACTTCCCATTCATCTGCTTTCTTTTGAATGTGCTAGAATATTAAATAGATATGGGTAAATTTAAAAGCTCTTTTCTACACTGTCTTAGAATCATCTATACCCCTGTACTTATTTAAGAAGTCTCCTGTGCTTTCATTTTTCAAGCTGAAACATTAGATCACATACTTATCCTGATGTATGTGAGATCACAGTTATTTGACCTGATTAGTATTTACCCAAAACAAGTTTCATAGCCCACGAAGGTGAACAAATCAGTGAACCTATAGACATCATCATTAAACACCAGCTACTTCATTGCCTGGTTAATGCTCACCCTACTGAAATGAGGGACTTGCCTGCCGTGTTGAAGTTTTATGAAGGGAATATACAGCTGTTTTTGCCATTTGTAAAGCAGTTTTCAGGAAAATCATATCCATTCCTAAAAGAATGTAGAAGTTACTGGAGTTGTTAAATGCAAGCTTAAACTAGAGGATTTAAAGATCTGCTTCATGCTTCATTTTTTTCTGGAGTAATAGCTATTTGAGAAACAGCACTGAATACATTAAGGTACATAAAATATTTCTAAAACTTACCCAATTGCTTTCAGTAGAAGAGAAAAATGGAAGGGATATGAAATGGCTAGTATTGTTTATTTCAAACCCAGTGACTGTCAGTTACAGTGCTAAATTTGTTAATCTGTACCTGGGAAACTGATTCCAGATCAGCAAAACTCTAAGCACAATAGGTAATTGTCATAATGAAAGAAGATGTTTCATTAGAAGTGTTTCCTTTGCTATTTCATTCCTAATAGTTCTGAAAGTCAATTAGAAATTACTAACCTTTATTATGCTTGGTTCCAAATGGAGGGTTCATAATAACTGTGTCAAAAGTCTGTGACATGCTGTCAGAAAAAGAACAGACATCACACTGAACCATGTTGATGTTTGAGAGCTCAAACTCTTCAATATTGCTATTAAATATTTCCAGTGCATCTGCATCTATGTCAAACCCCACACACAACCTGTTTAAAAAAAACACCACATATTAGTCTCTTGATAAATAAAACCGTGTTTAAATACTATAGTAAACTTTTGAAAGGGATCTGTGAACACAACTTGTTTTATCTAGGAAATGTAACAAGCATACCCTGTAAATTCAGTGCTGATAAAGAGAGAACGAGCTCTGTTTCCCTTTCTCAGGTATCCTTTTAAAGCTTGTGAAGGAAGTCTCATGTATCCATTTAGTGCTTCAGGGGAAAGCAAACGTTATGACTTCCAAATTCATGGCAACTGTCCATCTCTTCCACTATGTGAATGGTTATTGACTGTCTAAACACACTGAGTGTCATTACGCACCAGATTAGATACCTAAATTTAGTTTAGTTCAGCATTGCCATGTCCTGATCTTACTTTCTACTCTTCTATGCCAGGAAAAAATACAACTAGAACTTAGTATTTAATACTTACCCTGCTCCTAACATTGCACTTCCAATGCTGAGCATGCCGCAGCCACATCCCAAATCTGCAACTGTTTTGTTTTCAATATCATCAAAAGTATTGTGAATTGTATAAAGCATACATGCTGCATGAAAAAACACAACAATTGAAAACCCACAGGTCATTAATATAAAATATGCATCTGGTTAATCAAGAAAAGTTACTTCTGCCTTCAGAAAACTCAACTAAAGATTTCCTGTCGTGCAAAATTAGGCTGATGTTCTCACTGCCTGTAATTCTTTTTCATTTCAAAAACATTTTGACAAGTTACAGAACTCCAGATCTGTGGTGGAGAGAACACACATAGAGATGTGAGTATTGCTTATAGAAAAAGGTATACCTTTAAATTTGTGTGAGGATGAACAACAGAAAGATGAAATACTGCAAAAAAATAATTTAAGGCATGGACGAGTGTCCTTTACGGATTCTTGCGTGTCATGAAGTAAATCTGTTTTGGCTTTGTCATTTACAGATTATTTCGATCACATTATCTTTTAAATCAATTTAGTTGATTTTTGGACTGTACGTTAACAGTACTTCTAATAAAAATTAACTGACCATTAAGAAATTACATTCCTGC